AGAGGTTCTACTATTGAGGAAATAAGAACAGATTTTGGGGGGAAATTAGGAGTCCCTGCCACCCTACTGATAATGTTGTTACAAAGATTAAATGAGAAAATATGTATACTATGCTTAGAACATGCCCGATAGATAATACATGCTCAGAACTAGGTCATTGTTTTTATAATTATCTTTGGTAGACAGTGATCCATTTTCCCTCTGACATTCCAAATTCGCTCTGTTAATTTGTTCAGCATATATTGAGCATCCCTGATACTGAATAATGTGCCTCCGTTTAAATCTATCAGTAATTAAAAGAAGACCATCATCCAAGATGCTCACCCTTTGTTGAAAAGCTCTAAAACTTAGGGAATTCTTTATCAGACTGATCCAAAACTTACCTCCCCAATAATTCATGTCTTAGCCGTGATCCTACCTTTTGAAACTACAAGATGAGCCCATTTTCTCATCTCAATTCTTCAAATAAATAAAGACAGCTATCAAGCCTCCCACATAGTTTTCTTGTTCTAAACATGCATTTCATTAACTCATTTTTTTATTTAGTACATGGGCTGGCAAACTTTTCTGTAAAAAACCAGGTGGCAAATATTTTCAACTTTGTAGATCATATGGTATCTGTCTCTACTTTTCAGCTCTACTATTATAATGCAAAAGCAGCCACAGACATGACATATATGAATAGATGTGGCTGTTTTCCAATAAAATTTTATTTACAAAAACAGATGGCTTACTAGATTTGGGACTTAGGATGTAGTTTGCCAGTCCTTGCTTTAGCCCATGAAAACACCCATCAACAGAATTACTCCTGGCCCATAGTCCCCTCTCCTGAAGCTGAAAACTTACCCTGTCGCTCCTGATTCTGCTTATACATTTCATTTCTTTTTCTTGTCTTAATGCTTTGACTAGAATTTCCAGCAATTCCTGCATCTCCATAGATCTACTTCCCAGTCAGTCATTTCTTTAGTTGTATTACCTATCCCCAAATATCTCAAGATTGGACATATTATCTTGACAAGTACCGTCTTGTTCTGCCATATTTTTAGCACACACCTCCTTTGACCTCTCCCAGGCTAGCACTTACCCAATCTCCCCCATAAACCTGTACACACTAAGGAAAGAAGAATCCCTTCTTCCATCTTTTTCTTCTTCAAACCCACTAGAATATGATCTTTATTCAGTACTTCAGGTTTTCTTTAGCCAGCAGTCTAATGCCGCTGTAACTCTAACCTTAACCTAACTCAACCAACTTCCCTTAAAAACAACCTAGAACTGACCAAGAGTGAGTAAGTAGAAAGTTAACAGTTATTGATGGGTCTGCTGCTGCTGACATATTATATATATATATATTTCATCTCAATATTATAGATATGGAAAGTATGTCTCAAAATTGATAATTTAACCAGCTCAGGATCATGCAGCTTAGATTTAAGGAGTTGATCCCAGATGTAGAACTGAAATTAAAATTTGGGTGGACCTAGTGAAAGGAGTGTGTACATCTGGTATAAAAAATTCAATGCTGTGTCACTGATACAACAGACCTGCTGAACCTTGGTTGTTCTTTCTTATCAAGATATTTCAAGGCATAGAATAATAAATGTTTGCCTTGAATTTTTGGTTTTCAAAGGATTTCCTTCACAGCCTGATGGAGTAGGTGATTTTATTTCTATTTTACAGGAGAAGAAATTAAACCCCAAAGTGGTTAAAATTTTTACCTGACATACCAGACCCCACTGTCTGGTTGTTTCTTTTTATGACTGCCCACATTTGCTCTTCCCTGAAAACTCCACCCCATCTCTTTAACTACTTCCTACTTACCTTTTGAAACTCAGCTCAGTTGTCAGCTTCTGAAAGAAACCCTCCCTGGAAATCACTCCCACCTCATCCCCACTATCTGTTTTAGATGTTCTTCCTCTGTGTTAATGTAGATTATAGCTCTATTTACACTGTACTTTGGTGACTTATCAGCTCGTAAGGAAATCCAGAACAAGATCCCTGTCTTATTTAATTTTATACTCAACAAATATTTGTTAAATAAAGGAATGGTCTGAGATTGAAGCAAGTCTAGTGCTCTAAAAAGTCTGCTCCCTGTAATGTTGCTCATCGGTGATTCGTATAGTAAGCTGGAGGCAAAGCAAAGACCTTTGCTTCGATGTCTGTGTGTATCCTTGGCCTTCCAGAGACAAAGCCACATATAAGATAGGCTTCTCCTATCATCCATGAGTCTTTACAGCTAGATGACATCAGAAACCCAAACCCACAGGGCTTCAGACTAGATGGAAGAGAAGGCAGCATAGTCTTTGGTTAAGAGAAGAGATTCTGTAGTCAGTCTTCCCGGATTTGAATCCTGTCTCTATCATTTGCTAGTGGAGAGGTCTTTGGCAATTCACTTAGCTTTTCTGTACTTTGGTTTCCAATCTTTCAAATATGGATAGCAGAATTTATTTGTATTAGTTATCTATCACTGTTTATTAGCCCAAAATGTAGTGGCTCAAAGCAATAAACATTTATTATCTCACAGTTTCTGTGGTCAGGAATGTGGGAAAAGGCTTATCTGTCTGAGGGTCTCTCAGGTGGTTGCAGTCAAGACATAGGTTGCAGGTACAATATCTGAAGTCTTGACTATAGCTGGAGGATTCACTTCCAAGATGGTTCACACTCACATGGATGTTGTCAAGAGCCTTCCATACTTGCCACAGGGATCTCTCCTTAACAATATGGCAGCAGATTACCCTCAGAGCATGTGAGAGAGAAGTAGCAAGGAGGAAGCTCCAATGACTGATTCTCAGCAGTCATGTACTGTTCCTTCTACCATATTCTGTATGTTAGAGGGAAATCACTAAGTATAACCCACATCCAAGGGGTGGGGAATTGGGCTCCACCTTTTGAAGAGAGGAGTATCAAAGAATTTGTGGACATATTTTAAAACCATCACACTATCTCATAGCATTGAGTGAGAATTACACAAGATAATAATTGCAGAGTTGCCAGGCACAATGGCTCACACCTGTAAGTCCAGCACTTTGGGAGGCTAAGGTGGGAGGATTGCTTGAGCCCAGATGTTCATGATCAGACTGGCCAACATGGTGAACCCCTGTCTTTACAAAAAAATACAAAAATTAGCCAAGCACAGTGTTGTTGTCTCACCTACTTGGGAGGCTGAGGTGGGAAGATCGCTTGAACCCAGACTGGTATTAAAATATGTCCACAAATTCTTTGATACTCTCCCTTCAAAAGGTGGAGCCTAATTCTGCTCCCCTTGAATGTGGCTTATACTTAGTGATTTCCCTCTAACATATGGAATATGGTAGAAGGAACAGTATGTGACTGCTGAATCCAGGAGGCAGAAGTTGCAGTGAGCAGTGATTGGGCCACTGTACTTCAGCCTGGGACTCTGTATCAGAATGAGACTCTGTCTCAAAATTGTAATGATGATGATAATTATAATACTAACAAAAATAATTGCAACATCCTTAGAACATGAACTAGACAGCACCAAAATATTTCCCCTTTCTCCAACTTTGAATTATTTACCTCATGGGTAAGAAAGGATATATTAGCTATCAATCTGAAGGCTGTGGCCTGAAAAATCTCTTTAAAAATTAGAACAAATATTTGAATTCAAGTTAGTGCCATATGCCATTAAAGTTATCTGTATAACTTTTCTTGACCTGAAAAGTTGTTCATGGTATGCTTTGAATTTTTAAAGCAGGTACAGAACAGAATGCCCAATATTATCTTTGCATAGCTAAATACATATATCTCTATGTATGTTGATGCATAGGGAGTGTCCTGGAAGGAGGTTTCTTAAAGTAATAATAGTTATTGCTGTGTGGTAGGATTCATTAGGATGCTAAGCTAGGACACTGCTGCTCTGTGTGGGATGGTTTATTCCCTGCAAAGATATGAATGCTAGAGTGTCCATTGATTTTTTTAGAGTAGTTGTAGAGATATGCATATACTGGGAGCCTCTCACCTGAGAAGCTGTGTTTGTGCTTGAGGGAACACATATGGAAGGGAAGAAGGGACAGTTGATGACTCTTTGGGGAAAGAGGATATGGGAGAAGCAAGGGAAGAAAGATATCTATTTGACGAAGAGCAAAGGCAAGGCCAAGCTGGTGTTGACAGCAGAGTGTGACTGCTCATTAGTTGTCTTGGGAGGAAGAGCTTTACCTGCAAAGGAATGATATGCTTATGATGGGCACCCTCTAATCCCACAGTGCCTTGTATATCCTTTATAACTGTGTTTCCACATTGGATAGAAAATCGTTTTGTTCCCTCTCTCTATTAATAGAGTTACAAGCAGTTCAGTTTTGTTAGTGACCAATTATTTCAGGTTTAAATGTCTGGAAAAGTTTTTACTTAATTTTTATTTGCAGAAGATATTTTTGCTGGGTATAGAACTTGAAGTTAACAGTAGTTTTTCTTTCAGTACTTTGAAGATTTACTCCACTGTCTTCTGGCTTACATTGTTTCTGATTAAATGTCTGCCATCATGCTTATCTTTGTGCCTCTTTGTTTAATGTGCCTTATTTCTCTAGATTCCTTGGCCTCCCTGAAGTCTCAACTTTTTCTTTTCTACTGAGGTAAATTGTTGGATTTTACCTGAGTTTCCTTTTTCTACCTTGTAGCCTAGAAACTTTCTAAGAAGTAAGCAAGAGCATTTATAGAGCTCACTTCATTTTTTTTTCCTTCTTTCAGAGATCAATGTCTGTGTTGCCTGTTGTTCAGTGTCTGAAAACCATTTTTTTTCTTGATTTTTATTTTTAGTTATTTAAGGTGGATAAATAAATCTTGCCCTTGTTACTCCCTTTTGGCTGGAAGCAGAAGTTCTAAAATATTAAATCAAAAAATAAATGCTAAAAACGTAAAAGCCAACTTCTGATTGCAAAACAACCCTTTTTCTCAAAATTGGTCTTCATCTTGGGAGTATGAGCTCATTTTTTTAAAAACTCACTGACTGACACAGTGTTTGACATTATCTCTTTTCTTACAGGAAACAGGAATCATTCAAACTGGATTTTTAAATCATTGCAAGTCAATGATGTATCAGAAGTTGCAGAGTGCAAGCCCAAGTAACAGTCTTCAAAAAATTTTGCTTCACATAACAGAGAAAGGAAAATTGATCTACCATCTTAAAACCCTGATCTAGAAAAAATATATATTCATCATAAGAAATTATAACTGAGAAAAATTATTTTCCTCTTAATGCACCTGAATGAAAGGAAGTATCCCTTTGTTTCTTGGGAGGAGTTGTATGTCTGAGATTGTCATAATAATGAGTCATTTTATTAAAACCTTGACATGATCACCAGGGAAGAGAAATAGAGCAATAGCTGGAACTTGTGTGTTAGTCCAAGATGACTTCTGAAGAAATGACAGCTTCTGTTCTCATACCTGTGACTCAGAGAAAAGTGGTTTCTGCCCAATCAGCTTCAGATGAAAGTAGTGAAAAGGTCTCAGACATCAATATTTCAAAAGCACATACTGTCAGACAGAGTGGGCAGACTTCTCATACCATCTCACGACTGAACAAACTTAAAGAAGAATCTTCTGGAAGCAACTTGCCAGAGATTCTCTCAATAGCAAGGGAGAAAGTAGTGAGTGATGAGAACAGTAATGAAAAATCCTGGGAGAAAAGCATACCAGATTCTGTGAAAAACCTTAACATTAACTGCAACAACATGTTAAGAAACCATCAGCATGGCCTTCCTCAGAGACAATTTTATGAAATGTGCAACTCTGTCGCTGAGGAAGACCTGTGTTTAGAAACTGGAATTCCTTCTCCACTGGAAAGAAGGGTGTTCCCTGAAATTCAACTGGAACTAGACAGACCTCCCATGGACATTAGTCCTTTGGGAAATCAGTCGGCTATCCTAGAGACAGACAGAGCACACCCTGACAGCAGCACGACAGTGTTTCATTTTCATTATGAAGTTGAAAGAAGAATGTCAGACACTTTCTGTACCCTATCAAAAAACTTAATTTTAGATGACTGTGGAAATTGTGTACCACTACCCAGGGGTGAGGAGAAGCAAAAGAAAAACTACGTGGCATATACCTGTAAACTAATGGAATTGGCAAAAAATTGTGATAATAAGAATGAGCAGCTGCAGTGTGATCATTGTGACACCTTGAATGAAAAATACTTTTGCTTTGAAGGCTCTTGCCAGAAGGTTGACATGGTATATTCAAGTGATAGTTTTTGCAGGGAAGATTTTAGTGACAGTCAAGCTGCCAAGACCTTTTTGAGCCATTTTGAGGACGTCCCTGATAAATGTGAAGATGTAGAAGATGACTTTTTTAAAAGCAAAAAGGAGCGGTCCACTTTGTTAGTCAGAAGATTCTGCAAAAATGACAGAGAAGTTAAGAAATCTGTGTATACCGGAACAAGAGCAATTGTGAGAACTCTGCCTTCTGGCCACATTGGGCTGATTGCATGGAGTTACATTGATGAGAAGAGAAATAATCCCTTACTGTCTTGTGGGAGAGTAATGGAACCCCTGTCAACGGTGGAGATAAGGCAAGGTGGGAGCCGACATCTGTCAGAAGCCCAGTGGTATCCTGTAAGCATTTGAGTTTCTTTATACCATTTATTTAAACTTGCTTTTTTAAAAAATCCAAATTTCCATTTCTTAATTCATGAGAAATTTTAAGATCTGTCAAATTATGATTCTTAGGATAAGCATTTGTAGTTATTGAAAATAGATACTCCAATTGACAGCTACCAAGATTGAGTTGATACTGCAATATAAAAGTATGTCAGAAAATACTATTATTGGGAGTAGAGGGATTAGGGAGATTTCCTGGTAGTGGAAAAAATGGATCCATCTGTTGATTATCTGTTTTTTGTTATTTTGAGATAAATGCCTGGTTCCTCTGCTATAGTGTAGTTCATTATTGTTTTTAGGTTTCCAGACCTAACAGAACTTAATTCTGTTTTTTTACATTTTCCAACTTCCCCACTTCCTTCCCTCTTAAACTTTTTTATGCCATGGACCCCTTTGGCAGAGTGATGAACATATGGATTCAGAATAATGTTTTAAAATGAGTCAAATGAAATTGAAAGCATCATAAAGGACAAGTTATGTTGATACACATTTATCAAGATTTTTTAAAAAAATTAACATGGCAATTTAGGTGCTTCTTTATTAATATATTAAATAATAGTATCTGGTGATGTGATAAGTATCATAATTTCAAATTATGGCCCTCTGTATTCTCAGTTTATGTATCCATAGATTCAACCAACTGCATATTGAAAATAGTTTTGTAAGAAACAAAAAATAACAATATAACAATAAAAATAACACAAATTTTAAAAAAACCAATACACTATAACACTATTTACATAGTATAAGGTATTCTAAGTAATTTAGAGAAGATTTAAAGTATACAAGATGAATGTATGTTATACACAAATACTGGGCCATCTTATATAAGGGACTTGAGCATCCTTGAACTTTGGTATTCATGTGGATGGTGGCAGTCTTGGAACCAATTCCTCTCGGATAGTGAGGGATAGTTGTAGTGATGAATGTAAGTAAGGAATAGATTACCTGAAATTTTCTCAGTTTTAGCACTGTAAATTTCATATCCTGGAAAACCCTTCAGACCAAACCAGGGCAGTTGGTCACCCTAAATATCAATAACATTTTAGGATATCTATCACAACTGTAATAAGGTATGGAAATCTCTGTGACTTTTATTGTGACAAGATCACAGTTACTATTACTACTACTGAAGTTTGTTACCTATATTCAAAATTAAAGGAAATGTAAATTTCCATTTGGGATTAATGAAAATAATGATTCATTTTTTTTCCTCAACCAGATTTCCAGGTCCTCTGATTCTATTCCCAGTCTCCCCTCTTTAAGAATCCTGTTCTAGAAATACATATGATCAGGCTGCCTGCTCTCAGACCTTATCTGTACTTCTGAGGACAGTGCCATGTGCCATCCTGGATTTTTTTTTTTTTATCCTGAACACTCTTGCTTCCTTCAATTATTCTCTATGTGAAACTGTTTTTAGAACTATCACATTCCAATTCTTCACAAGTCCTTTAAAACTCGACCCTAGAAATAAGCACCTGGTCTAGAGAAACATCCTTTTTGTTGAAATATAAGTGATATATTTTTACTTTCATCATCATCATCATCATCATCATCATCATTGTATTAGTCTGTTCTCATGCTCCTAATAAAGACTTACCCTAGACTGGGTAATTTACAGAGAAAAAGAGGTTCAATGGACTTACGGTTCCACATGGCTGGGGAGGCCAAACAATCATGGTAGAAGGCAGAGGAGGAGCAAAGACACATCTTACATGGTGGCAGGCAAGAAAGCATGTGCAGGGGAACCCTCATGTATAAAACCATCATATCTTATGAGACTTATTCACTACCATGAGAACAGTATGGGGGAAACTGCCCCATGATTCAGTTATTTCCACCTGGCCTTGCCCTTGACACATGGGGATTATTACAATTCAAGATGAGATTTGGGTGGGGACACAGCCCAACCATATGAAATATCAATCAGGGTAGCTAACATTTATTGAGCATTCAAAATATGCCATATATTGGGCTAAATAATTTATATATTCCATGTTATATAATCATCTTAACTACCATATGATGTTGGTGTGATAATTAACCCTATTGTATTGCTAAGAAAACTGATTTCCTGGGAAATTATTTACCTTATCCAAGGTCACTTAGTAAGTAAAATAAGATTTAATTCAGGCAGCTCATACTCTTAGGTAGTTTCTTGAGATACAGAAAGAAATAAAATTCAGAGTAAGTGTTTAAAAGAACAGAAAAATTCTGTTCATTTCAGCATCTGTTGATTGAGTGACCCCATTCATTGATGCTCACAGTATCTCAGACTTGACCATGTTAGATATGGTGATTGTAACCCCACTTACATGTTGCAGTCACTGCCCAGACCCCTCCCCAGACCCTTTGAATCAGAATCACTGGGGTAGGGCACAGCATGAATATTTTTTCAGTGTTTCTATGGATTCTATGAAGTTGTGAACTATTGGCTGGGAGTTTAAACAGAGCTCTTTGCTTTCTGATCAGGACATTTCAGGACTATTTGCCCTTCTCTAAAAACCCTGACACCACTTGGGTTCTTAGGAAGATTAGGGCTGACCTGGGAACCTGCCTGAAAAGTGAAAGCCTGCATGTCCTTCTCTATACAGTTGGCCACTCACCCAGCCAGTGTCTAGGGATGTGTTTCTTTGACTTGATTCCACATGAAACCTGAGTCATAGATGAGGAGCTTGTTACCAGCATGCCTGTCCTGCTTGGCACTAGATGACTTGCGCAGCATCACACTGCCATGAAACTGCTGTTGAGAGCAACATGCATGTCATCCTAGTTAACAGTACAGTGGTTTAAAAAAATCATGTACACTCGAACATTAAGAGTACAACAGAAATTTAAATATAGCAAAGTGAAATGGAAATAGCTTGCTTTAGAACATTTATCATAGTTTCCCAATGAGGGTTGTGAATCGGGTGTACATTTCAGAATAATTTTTGGTATCCCCATACTCTCCTCCAGTTTCTTCTTTTCTGCAGCCCTGCTGCTGTTTCTTCTGAGCTTATTCATTGGTCCCAGCTCAAACCTGCCCTTGTCCATCAAAGGCCCTGGGATGGTTAATTTCTAATTGAAAAGGACAAAAGGGATGATGTAAATTTTCTTCTCCCTGCTTCTTAGTATCTGGAGGCTGGGAGAGGTTGCCACACCTCTGTCAGAGTAGACTCCAGGAACTTCTATCCCCTTGGTCTAAGCAGGCTTGGAGGAGGCTATTGGCATTTTTCTTAACCATTAAGATGCAGCTGGGGAATAGGTTGGTTGTCCTGTCCTTTCTTAAGGGAGATTTCTAAAGGGGGAGCCCTTTCTGAATATCCAAATCACACCATAGCAGGAATGAATCAGTATTTTTTTAGGTATTACATTCTATATATCTTGTTTTTTAGTTTAGGATCTGGTAGAAATCCTAAAAAGTTACGCAGGTGAATTATAACTAGTTTCCCCAGCTCCTATGAATTACTTCCTTCAAAGATGCAGACCCTAATGATATCCTCCTTTTCCTGTGTTTTGGTCATTTCATAGGTGTCCGTTCTGGTTCCTCAATCAGATTGTAAATCAATTAAGGACAAGAAATGAGTTCTGCATTTTTGTACTCTCCATGATGCAAGTATAATGCCAAATATATAGAGAATAAGGACAATGTCATGTTAGAAATACAGTCTCTAGGGTCAGTCGACCTGAATTTAAATTGTGGCCCTGACTCCATTGCTGACTGGCCATGTGAATTCTGGTACACGGTTTGACCTCTTTGTTCCTGATTACCTTTTTTATAAACTGAGAATAGTGGTGTTATTGTGGCGTTAAATGAGATGCTACTCACTGCACAGTTCCAGCAAGGAGCGAGTGCTGCTTTCTCACCCTGGCCATTGTGGATATACTTTGTCGAGAACACATTTCCACCTCCTTCTGCTGTTTGTCTTCTCACTCAGGGGTGTTACAGTGGCATGAATTTGAATGCGTGTTTCTCAATCTATAATGTGGTAGTTTGAACAATCCTTCCCACACATTTAAAGAATGTGCTATTTGTCCAATTAATTCCTTGGCCCTCAACATTAAACATTGTTTTTTTCTTGGATGCCTTGGTCAGAATGACCCATTTAGTTTGTATTTGCACAGCTGTGTAGAGAAGAGTGGATTTGAATGGAAAACACTAATGAAGATTAATGCTTGCTGACATACTGACTATATTGGTATCCTCCTTCTCCTCCTCATAAGAAATTAAAACCCTATCCCTTATCCAGTTATAGTCATATTCCCTCTCTCCTGCTCTGAAACAAGATGGGATATTTTGACAGGTGGCTGAAGTCTCCAGGTTAAAGATTGGTTAAGGGTGTTTTTCCTTAAAAAAAAAAAAAATTCTCAACCTGCCTGAATTTTGAGGAGTTTAGATACATATAGTTATCTTGAATGTGAAGTACAAGAAGTTTCTGCTTCTGCCCTGCTGGAGTTGCTCATGTAACCCGAGCTCCACATGCAGTCAGAGAATGTGGAGGCGCCAGGGCAGGCATTCCACTGGCTCCTGTATTATCACTTCACTTATTTCCCTTCTTTGTTCCACAAGAAGATTTACTGTACAAGAATATGTATGACAAAATAGAAAAAAACTCAGATAAAGTAAAAAACCAAGAATACAAATGAAAAGTAAAGAATGAATAAAAATATTTTATATCAGACTACAAAAGGTATAATTTAAAAAGTAAGGTCAAAAGCAGCTTCTATATTCCTGCTTCTTATTCTGTTTATTTCCTTTTAAAATGTGCCTTTCTTCTTTGTGCTTTACTCTCAAGCGCAGAAAATTAATCCTAGGAGGCAACTATTTTTTGAGTGTTTCACAAAATTGCCTTTGTTGGTATACATGTCCTTGATTCTATATTTTGTCTCTTTCAAATTGAAGAGACCTGAACCTTAGGGGAGACATAATGTCTGTTATGTGTAAAGGGACCTACCAATAATAAATTCGCCTT